TACAAGAGACAAATAATTGTTTGATCCTGTTCAAATTGTGCCATGAATTACACATGTTTGTCAATTTCAAGGATAATTTTTCAAGTCAAGAACGTTGCAGTCTGTTATAGAACCATTTTGTTCTGTGTGCACCAGCTAGCTAGGTAATTTAATGTTCCCCACTCAAGTGTAATGTCATTTCACTTGATGTATTTTATCCAGCGACTCCTGATCTTCCTGGGGGAAGATCCCCAGAAGGAGCTGGAAAGCGTTGCTGGGGAGAGGGACGCCTGGAATACTTAGCTCAGCATGCTGCCCCCATGGCCCGACTTCAGATAAGCACTTGAAAATGGATGGACTCCTGATCTTTTCATCAGCGTGGAAGTGAAAGAACAAGCAAGACCTGTTGCTTGTTTGAGCTAAACACACAGACATCGTAAAGCTAGAGATAAAGTTATGACATCACCTACACGACTTTTGCAGTCATTCTAATTACGTGTTTTCACAGTCTCATACTTCAACAGTTTTACAACAAATTATGGCTTTCTTGACATGACTTCTTCTTTTAATTTGATTGATTGATCACATGTGTAATTCATGGCACAATTCAATCAAAAAAGTTAAGTATAATTTTGGTTTAAAAGAATATCGAGTCCAATTTTTTTTTTTTTTTTTAAAGATATTTTTGGGGCATTTTTAGCCTTTAATGGATAGGACAGACAAGCCTGAATGGGGGAGGGGGAGAGAGAGAGAGAGAGAGAGGGAGTGACATGTAGCAAAGGGCCACAGGCTGGAGTCGAACCCGGGCTGCTGCGGCAACGGCCATGTACATGGGGCGCCTGCTCTATCCACTAAGCCACCGACGCCCCATATCGAGTCCAATTTAAGATTTGATGTAAATTGTTATTTTGTTAAATTGTCTCCTCCTCAAACAAACTACATGAGTTGTTTGACAAGAGGCCCAAATGGATGCTGATTTATTACTAATTAAAACGTAGCCCATAACTTAACTTTGAGATAAAATGCTGTGAAACTCTTTTAGTAAACATGCAGACTCATAATCCTGTCATGCAGAAGACCAGAACTCGAGAGCTCTACATGGATGCTAACACCATGACATGCTGATAAAGCTGTTCCTCTGAAGATGTTCGAGCTCGCCATGTGCTTCACTTGAAGCATTATCAATACAAATAAACTGTCAAGGCTCACAGTCGTCCTTTTCAAACTTGCTGAGGTAAGCATTTGACCTCTGTGTGCCTTTAGGCTGAAGAAAATTTGAATACAACATCCTGTGGAGTTGGGGATTGAGAGCTGGAGCTACTCTGCTGTTCAGTTTGTTTGCTCTTCTTTGTCATGTTATCATCTCGCTCCAAGTATGTGGCCTTTGTTTACAAATGAGGCAGCTGCTGCACAATAAATAGACGATGTGCTTTTTTTAGCCTCATTACATAAATGAGCACACTTGGGGATTTCTTTTTTGTATCAACACATTACAGAGCTGCTGTGCACATGTGCGCCATAAATCCCTCTTAATAGAAATCCAATTTACCAACAAGCAAACTTTTGTGAATTATATTCGTGTTTCTGCTGGTAAAACATAAAACTGTGGAGCTCTGGTCCCACAGTGCACCTGGCAACGCTATAATACCATGAAAAGTGCCTCTGTGTCGAGTAGCTGCAGACAGCGTCAGATGGGGAATGCCATTCATTTTAAGAATTCACATATGTTATTGCTGCGCCCCAAGGCAGGGCAGCCAATACTGGTGGACCACTTTCCCTTACATACCAGCTAGAAAAGAGACCCTGGATTGTTATGTGTTGTCACTGGGATGTAAAATCTGCCACACAGACAATGAGTGGGAGATCTTTTTTAAAGCTCTTGCAACCAAAAGATTTCTACATTCTGGTTCATGCTTGTCAACAGAGCTAAAATGTAAAACCTACTTTGGTATTTAGCATTTTTATCTCCTACAAAGTCAGCACCTCTATTCATTGGCTATGGAGCAGCAGACCTAGATTTCAAGTCCCAAATGATGCTTTAAGGATTTACATTGTGCTTTTCATTTCTCAGCAACACTGAACAAACTGTCCTAGACTGGAAAGAGAATATGCAAGTCTTACATCCATTTAAAGATCCAGTGCGTAGGATTTAGGGTGATATACTGACATAAATGGAATATAATAAGTATGTAAGAATAAGAATCATGTTTTCATTACCTTAGAATGAGCCATTATAGGGAGCATGTTCACATCCACAAAGACTGCTATGTTGCGCTGCCATATTTCTACAGTAGCCCATAACAGGCAAACCAAATACTGGCTCTAGATAGGGCTGTTTGCATTTCCACATTGGCCACCCAAGTTTGCAGCCCCTCTGTGACCAGTGTTGAAAAAAACACAGATTTTTTTAAACATGAAACTGCTTTATTCAGTGTTTTTTTCTGGTTTAGATCACCTGGGATCTCATTTATACAACAATACATAGGATCCATACTAAAAATGTGTGCCAACAAACAAAAGCCAGAAATAGTTCAATGGTGTTCATTATGTCTTCAGTTTCTGATAATGACTTTAGTTGTTCTTTTATCTCAGACATGTGTTAGGATGTTACATACCTTGACATGTTTTGGCAGAAACTTCCGCCTTCCTCAGAAGTGTCACTTGGTGGTGGTTGTTGTGATGCACCTTTATCAGCTGATCTGTCAATCAGCTGAAATAAGGAAGTGGGACGATGAACAGGGACGAGGGGGCATACATGTTCTCCCACACCTGGAGCAGCGTCCTGGAGAGGCGGCGGACGGACAGCAGGTGCCGTGATCAGTCACGCCTCTCTAATATCAGTTGATTGACAGATCAGCTGATAAAGGCGCGTCACAACCACCACTAAGTGATACTTCTGAGGAAGGCATCCTAACACATATCTGAGATAAAAGAACAACTATTTTGGAGAGAAGACGACTTTGCAGATAATTCCTGGTAAACGTCTTTAATGAATGGATCTTGTATTACCAGAGAAAAAAGGTGAGCACACATTAACAGATGCTGAGCTTGCAGCTGCCTGCAACATGCAGAACAGCATTAGATAAACACTGATTTGTAACATGAAAATGCTTTATTCTGTGTTTCTACCAGTTTAAATCACTTGATCCATTTGTTTCTAAGACCTCAGCGGATAATTCAGCTCATGGTAAAAACCTCCTGAACGTCTGGATCAGAATTAAGATGAGCACACAGCGGCCGTCTGCGACATGCTGAACAATGCAGGAGAAACACAAGCTATGTTTCCACCTAAAAGTGATTCGAATCATTGGGAAATGCGCATTAAAAGAAATACGAATCCTGTGTGTTTCCATTAAATGTACGGACTTTGGTGAAAACTACGAACTCGCGTGATTTTTCCGCAGAACCGGAAACAAAACAAGTCTTGCATTCTTCTTCTTCTTCTACATTTTCTGGCTGTTGGCAACCAGCTTGTAAATGCATTACCGCCTTCCCGACCCGGAGTGTGGATATCGCCATGGAGAGAGGTGCGCTACGTCAGACTTAATTCGAACATAACTGTTTCCATCCCCCATTTTGCAAATCAACATTTTTTCGAATCAACCAAAACCCGGCTAAAGTGAGCGTATTTTAGTTTGTGCGAATCAGGGGATTTTAATTCAAATTTTGGCGTTTCCATCGTAATTTTCCGATGCGATACTTCTAGATGCGCATCTAAACAGGCTGATGGAAACTAGGGCTGCCATGATTAGTCGACTAATCGATGACTAATCGACTATTAAAATAATCTGTGACTATTTTAGTAGTCGACTAATCGGTTTGAGTCATTTTTCATAGAAAAGAACTATAAAAATACCCCAAAATACTCTTACTGTAGCTTCTTACATTCAGATATTGGCAGCTTTACACATTCTCCCGTGACAGTGAACTAAAACCTTTTGGCATGAGTATGAAACAAGACATTAGATGACGTAATTTGGGGGTTTGGGCGAGACAGACCGACATTTTTCAACATTTTAACATATTTTTCGATGAAATGATTAGTCGACTAATCGAAGAAATAATCGACAGATTAGTCGACAATGAAACTAATTGTTAGTGGCAGCCCTAATGGAAACATGGCTACTGATTTCTAACATGAAACTGCCTTATTCAGTGTTTTTACTGGTTTTAATCACCTGGTCAGTTTGTTACGGGGAAGAAGAGACCACCGCAGACGATTCAACTAAGGGTAAAAACCTCCTGAACAATGAAAACTGAAAGAAACCTAACTGGAAGAAGTTTCAGCTGATTGCAATATGCAGTCCTCACCACTAGATGCCACTAAATCCCCTTATATCTTACACACTGTTCCTTTAAGTGTGGATACAAAGGAACAACTGTTTAAAGAAGTTAAATACTTCTGATAATGACAATGAAAGTAACTTACTTCTCAGACAGCAATAACGATCCATCGACTTAAAAACTAGGACAAAATGCAGAGCAGTGTCCAAGACTATATTTCTATGAAGATAAGACAGAAGCAGTAACTTTGTTTTGTGGAGCTGGATGCAGAGAGCATGATAAGGGAAACTGTTGATTTATGATCTGTAATGGAGCTGAAGCCTGAGCAGGAAATGAGTCTGTATTTACTGTAGGAGGCACTTTGTTATGTCTAAACCCAGCCAACCTGCCATGTCTGATGCACACTGATAACACGGAGACCAGGGAGGACCACAGAGACTTGAGGGGGGCTCCAGGTGGTATTTCATTGTAAAGGACCAAAAAGACTACACTTAATTTCCTGAGTAATTTTCAGATAGTGTGTGTTGTTAGCTAGAAGGGAACAACAGCAACCCCGGGTAATTAATTTAACCTTCACACACCTGTGCAGAGAGACTTTATACATTACTTTCAGGTGTCTGTAAACTTACAAAAACAACACACACATAGCTTATGTAGTTTTACAGCTACAACTATTCCCTTTAAACCTTATATTGTTCATATAATTTGATACAAATCCAGTAAAAAGCTTAACTTACCGTGTACAGTCGAGTGGACAGTCCGGGACAGCTGCTCTGCTCTTTACAAAGTCTGCTCAGAAAATCTGGATGCGACGTGTTCTTCGTCCTTTTTATGTCGTTTCATCCACAAACTCGTAACTTTACCGAAGTGTCTGTTCATATAACTACATGTTAAATGTCTTTCTTTCTCTCTGTGGCGTCTCTTCCTGCCGTGGAAAGCGCGTTTGTTGTTGTGAGGAGGTGCTGGACAGGCGGTGCTCGTGTGTAGAGAGCGGAGGCTAAGCTAGCATGGACAATAACGGCTACATCCGGTTGTGGATTTCAAAATAAGAGCGTAATATTCCCCCCCCCCCAAGTATATGAACAGGAGCATGAGCCAGTGGTTATCATCCTTTCTAGCCTGTAGTTGTTTAACTTGTAATTTTTCTTACTTAAATTTAGTACTTTTGTGGCCTGAGGCATTAAAAATAGCCAGGGTTTCACAAAATGAATAAATACATAAATACAAATGACATAACAGGAATGTGTGTTCCTCTCGTGATCTTTAAGATTTATCTCCCAAAATCCAACCTGGGTGTTTTTCTAAACACAGGAAATATCTATTTAGTGAAAAACAATAAATCAAAATTCAGTTTTACCCTCCTGAGACCCTGTGTCCTTATATGGTACAATAACCATTTCATTTTGGCTAGAAAAAGATCATATTTTGGCTTAAAATACCCAGATTTGGGGCTCGATCACTGCTGGAAAAGCATGTCTTAATTAAAACACAACTGCTTTTCATGGTACTATTCCAGCTGGAAAAACAGCAACATCCCAGCACAAAACACCTTCGTTTGGTTCCTGAAAAGCCACTGGAAACACAGAGCAGGGTCACTACATGACATGCCATCCACCCACCATCACCTCCATCTCATGACAAAAGATGTCATACATATGAAACATGCAAGTGTCACGTATTCTGGGTCTGCTGGTGACTGAGCTGGGAAAACATTGCCAAAGATAAATTAACATGTCATGGCATACTTTTGACATACCAGTTAAATAAACTTTCTGCATGTAAAGCAGCAGCTAACAAGATGAGCATACATCGTTAAAGACAAACACACTTCTCTGTGTTTGCTCATTCACTTTGTGTGTCTTATCCTCCTCAGACCCTGTGTCTTCATATGAGGACATTTCATTTTGGGCTTACCTGAGCCTTATACTGCATTCTACTCAACTTAGACTTGTTGTCCTCGTTTGTGAACACTTTTATGTGCCATCTTGTGGAAGTAAGAGCACAACACACTACTCCACGTAAAGACAAGATGGCAGCCATCTCTGCTGCCGATCCCGACACAAAGGTGGACAAGGTCTGAAACCTGATCACATTTTATGATTAAAACTTATCACCAATTTTAGCAACAGTAACAACCTAAGACACAGATAATTAGGAAGTACTTATATGAGGACATTGGGACTTAATTATGGTCGACAGTGGTTAGTTTTTTATATTCAGTGGGTACTATTGATCCCAAATGGCGAGGAGAAGTTACAGTTATGGTTAATGGTAAATATAGTCTACACCGAGGCAATTCAGAATCGGAATTAGGATCAGAATAAGAATTAATAACAGGTAGGTTTTTTACTGCAAGTAATTTGCTTTGGTTTTTGGTGCATACATTAAACATACTATAAACCATTAGGCAGTAAAAATAAAGGCAAAGTACCGCAACACCCAAGAACACACACAATAAACAACATAAAAGAGACTTTAAAAAGTACTACAACATAACATAAATGTACAATATAGCTGTTTCAGAATAGGAGAGCTGTTCAATTTTGGGCAGGATGTGAAAAAATATTAATCAGGATGTGTGCAGAAGATCACAGTAGAGCAAATATGTGCAACGTGTAGAGATAATAGTCCAAGATGTATGTAAATGTAATGCACATGGACAGTGTCTATGTAAGCAACCAACTAGCTTTGGGTCTTTATACTGAGAAGTGACTCTGATATTAAGCTATGTTAACTACACACATAAGACTCAATGACATAACATACAAATCAACATCTGGGGATCCAAGTGTGTGACATACACACAGAAATGACTCTTCATGCAAAATGGCATGCTTTTATTTTGAAAGCCAACATTGCCAGCTTGTCGTGTGTGTGGGGTGCTTGACTCACCTGGACTACTCCATCTCTCTCTCTCTCTCTCTCTCTCTCTCTCTCTCTCTCTCTCTCTCTCTCACACACACACACACACACACACTGCAAAGACAAGTCATAGCACACTTTTTGCATAATCTGTCCAAGGACACTCTGAGCGCAGTAACATCTGTTATAATTAAATGATAAACATAAAAAACCCTATGCAAACATTTCATATAATATTTCATGATGCATATGTTAGAGGCAGTGATACCACCAGCATGAAGAACACTTGAGCACTGTTAGACACATTATGATATTTGAGCAGCCTCTGATAATGTCCAGATAAACACACTGAACCAGTGTGGTTGGGTTGTAAACGGATTACGGTACAGATGCCTGCAGTACAGTGGTTTATGGTGGAGATAAAGTACCCTAGATTCACAGCCTGTTCCAGCATAACCAGTTCTTTGCTCTGCATTCTCAATATGTAGAATGAGGTCATACCTGACTAACCTCAACCCTCTCAGGTGAGCCTTTCTGCTCCAGAGGAGTAAAACAAGGCTATACATAGTCCCATTGAGGGGTTTGAATCTGTGGTGGTGAATGTCACCATAAGAACCATGTGAAAAATAATTAAAATTCCCTGTTTGTTCTGCATTTTTGGAGCTAAACTCTGACTGCCCCATAAACCATATACTTCTTGAGCATTCTTGCTACTGCATAATTAACATTAATTCAATCACGTTTTTTAAATTTTAAGTGCAAAGACACTATAAAGCAACATGCTAGCGGCCCTTTAAGGCTGAATATAAGCATGTTTCTACTTTTCCAGGTATTTGATCCCAAATTAATGGATATATTACATGCAGTGGGGGCATCAAACTTATTGCAATCAATCCTCTCAGACCATGAATGTGTGTTGCACATTTTATGGCAATCCATTCAGTGGTTGTTGAGATATTTTGGTCTGGACTGAGGCTGCTAGCATGGCAAAAATCAGCCAATTAAAAGCACAAAAAACCTAGTAAAATAAAGGATGTGACTATAAAACAGAATATAATAGTACGGAAGCATATTGCATTCACTTGACAAAAAAAAAATCTGTTTTATTGAGTATTTTTTTCTGTTTTTCGGAGTAATTTTTTTATTTTTCTGTTTTTTGGTGTAATTTTTGTTCTGTTTTTCGTGGTAATTTTGTTTCTGTTTTTCGTGGTATTTTTTTATTTTTCTGTTTTTCGATTTAATTTTTTCTGTTTTTCCTGTTTTTTTTTTTTTTTTTTTTTTTTCGGGGTAATTTTTTTCTGTTTTTCTGAGTATTTTTTTCTGAGTTAAGAGAGCAATAGAACAACAGACGCTTTCATTCCTTTCTTGAGAGATCGATATAATGGAAGCAAACATGACCCGCTTGTTTAGTTTAATCCAGTTTTACTTTGTTTTGGGTTTGAGACACTGGGAGATACTCGTCTTTAAGTCATATAGATGGTGTTATCATTAGTTTGTCGACTTTACGCGGGCACCTTACAAAACAAAGTAAAACTGGATTAAACTAAACAAGCGGGTCATGTTTGCTTCCATTATATCGATCTCTCAAGAAAGGAATGAAAGCGTCTGTTGTTCTATTGCTCTCTTAACTCAGAAAAAAATACTCAGAAAAATAGAAAAAATTAGCCCGAAAAACAAAAGAAAAATACCACGAAAAACAGAAACAAAATTCCCATGAAAAACAGAAAAAAAAAAATCACCACGAAAAACAGAAAAAATTACACCGAAAAACAGAAAAATAAAAAAAATTACTCCGAAAAACAAAAAATTACTCAATAAAACAGATTTTTTTTTATTTGTCAAGTGAATGCAATACACTTCCGTATAATAGGGTTATTTATACAAAAAAAGTAGATAAAGCATATTTAAAATTAAAAAGTAAGGGCTTGTATGAATAAAATGGTTTATTAATGCAATGAACACAAAAGCAGAAAACACAAAAGAGAAAAACATCTGGCATTTTACTTTTCTACAAACCCTGAATACATTACATTTGCAAGTTATTATGTAGCAGATAATTGAAGCTTTGTTTTTTAACAATGGTGTTATTAACATGTGGTTAGGTTTAGGTTCCAAAAAGACGTAGTTATGGTTAGGAAAAGATCATATTTTGGCTCAAATTACCCGTATTTTGGGCTTAAACCCTACTGAGAAAACAACAATATCCTGATTGAAAAACAACCACTTTTCATGGTACTATTCCAGCTGGAAAACTGCGACAGATCGGCACAAAACACATACGTTTTGTGCCTAAAAGCCACTGGAAACACAGAGTCCCAATGACAAAATCTGCTCACGTCACTTTAGTAATGTCATACATATGAAATTTAGACATATATCCTATTCTTGGGCTGCAGAAATGTAAAACGCCAACATTTTCTTCTGGTGACTGGGCTGGGAAAACATCACCAAAAACAGATCAACATGTCATTGCATACGTTTGACACACCCCTTAAATAAACTTCCTGCATGTAAAGCAGCAGCTAACAAGATTAGCATACATCCGTCAAACACAAACAACTGGTGGGGCTCCAACAATCAGCGCTGATAGGACTGGAGGGAAAATCGTCCTGCACTTATCGGACCACTAGAGATTTTGAGAGGAGTTGTTACAGTAATTGATAATTGTCTGTGGGTTGAATGTAGCATGTCAGTTGATGATGACTCCCAACATCAAACCTCTGAGTCTGCTCTCCGCCACTCGAGCATGATGGGGGACATTGTGTTCCTGCTGCTCTCCGCTGCTGGCTGTGCCCGGGCTGTGTGTGTGTGTGGATGCCCAGAAGATGCCTATCGCTGCCCAAAGCAGCCAGCATATCTGCAATTATGTTGTGCTGGCTGATAATGACCTCCCCTCTGCTCTGCGTCCACTGTGAGCTCATTTTATCCACAAACATGCCGGATGGAGATAATTGGTGAAAAGTAATTGGTCGGTGACGCTGCAACTCATTTCACTCAGAAATGGCCCCTAGATCTGTGCTATTTGAGAGTACATTTCCTGAACGTGAGACTGCAGTACTTTCCATTATGATACATTAGGGAAGTGCAG